GTTTGATTACCATCCCAATTAATGTTGTATAGGAGGAATAAATTTATATATAAGAGTTTATCCTATACTTATTTTTTGTCTTCTTTTCCTAATTATAAATCCAAAAGCGGATCCTACACAAGTACAAGTCTGTTCACAGAAAGAATATATAGAGCTTTATCTCATTATCTTTTTGTCTAACTTATCAAAACTAGAATTGTGACTATTGGAAGAAAGTTGATTAAAGTCTAAACCGTAATTATTTCATTGAACCAGTAGACCAAATTTACTTGTGAACTTTTTCTATTTCTCATAAATAACCAATCATCACAACTCTCAGGATGGTTTTTGAGTAAACTCACTGCAAAAGTCAGTATCGTTGTCAACAATCTTAAATGATACATAAGGACAAACATGGTCATTATAACCCCTCCCCGAGGATCAGACACAAAAATATATATGTAATTTTAATTTCTTTGTTACTGCGAAACAGGAGCTGGTTTCAACATCAGAAAAATTAAGAGAACCGCGTAAAGATGATTTACAATTTGCTTATTTTATTGATATTAAAAAAAATAAAACTTTCAGGTATTATTATCATCAAAAGAAAATCTACAAGTCATGACGAAAAATTGAGTAAATGGCATAACCCACAAAAGAATGATTAATGTGAATTTTCTAGAAAAGAATGTCAGTTTTTTAATATTAAAATTTTCCATTGGGGAAAAATAATAATGATAATTTCATAATACTTTGGGAAAGAAAATTTTAAATTAAATCTTTATGTTTACTAAAAAAGAAATATTTAACATTGTTTGTAATTGTAATGTTCGTAGGAACGAATTAGGTTATACAAGTTGTGTACAACAAAATAAAAATCAAATTCAATAATAATATTGTAACAGTTAACAAACTGAATAGGTGCTTCCAATGATAAACGACATCAATTTTATTTACTCTTCTAATGGCATTCTCCGTTTCTACTATGTACAACCATTTTACATTTTCAAAATTGAGTTTATTAGTGTCACACTGAACATCACATGAGCACTATGTATAATGATAGTGAAGTGATTTGAATATTTATTTGAGTATGGAATATGTACTGGAAAATCCCCACTCTAAAAGATGCGTTTTATTTTATTAGAAATATAAAAAAACTGACATTGAATCATGTTGTGTAATGAATATTTTGACTTTTTAATAACTCTATAACGATTTTTGAAAATTTTCTGTAATTATCACCATTACCATTTAAAATAAATAATAAAAAAACCAATAAAACTGGTCTAAATGAAGAATGTCCCAAAAAGTAAATCAGAGTTTTATAGGAATGAACTGATTCCTTAAGAATTAAAAATAGGACAACAACAATGACAAATGACAATGACATGACAATAACATAGACAACAATAATTGAATTATCATTAGAATAAAATAATTTTTTGGGAACAAATTTTTTACTTTTGTTGGGTGTTTGATTTAAAAAAAGAATCAAAAATTCTGATGAAATTGGTTCCTTGTAGATCAAATCAAGTTGAATAATATTGTTGAAACTTTCTATTAAATAAATGTCTGTTACTATATAAAGTGTAAACTAACATTGTTACAAATTTTTGTAGATTTGTTTAGTTTAGGACTAGAAAATTCATGATTTAATTTTTATCATTATTATTTGTTTGAAAATCCAAAGAGAAAATATGGCCTTTATCATAATTGAAGCAATATCTGATTTTGGTAAGTTTTTGCTGATAAAGTTCAATAAGTAGTATGACTATTTTAGATATTGCATAAGCTTTTTATTATAAGTTATAAAGACCTGAGATTTAAGCGGCAACAAACATCAAATTATGCATGCAACACTTGATAGATTATGCAAATATGCACTATATTTTAACATTTTATAATAAACTTTATAATCTCATTAAAAACAAACACTTTTAAATACACATTATTTGTTATAATACAAATCATTAAGCATTTCTAATGAATTTTCTGAAAGATTATGTCATCTATCACTTGAAATATTTTTGTAATATGAAAAGCTTTATTCCACATCCACCCCAGATGCTGGAAGTCATATATACTCTAAAGCAATCCTAGGAATAATGGTAATATTTGTTGTTTATCATTCCAATATTTATTTAAATCTAAACTTTCCTCAAAAATATTCATTAGCTCCACAATAAATAATCCATTCATTGATCAATTCATCTTCTGGATTTATAAATTCTTTGATATATGAATATTTTTTTGAGATGAAGAAGTTCTAGTAAATTTTGGATTAAAAAGTGGTAATGCTGAAATGTCTATTAAAATGTTTATATAATTTGTTCTAGGCAAGGTTAAAGGCTTGAGAAAATGTTGATATTAAAGATTCTTCTGATACATTTTGAATTCTACATAAATCAATAATACTTTGATTTAAAGGAGGATTTTCAATGCCAGCTCTTAATAAATTCTTTATATTTTCAACGCATAAGAAAAATAAGGTGCTATATCCTTGTCACTAAGTCCTGTGATCAATCTATTTTTATTTTTAAAGTTATTATTTAAGAGGAAAAAAGATTTAAAATTTAAAATTCTGTTACCTTCTTGCATTTTAAAGTTATAAACTTAATGATTAAATGCAAATAAGAAATTCTATAAGGATTTGAAAAAATTTCATTTAATTGCATGATAGATTTTGGTGCATCAGAAATTAATGAACCAATGAAACCAAATGTACTAACCAAAATACAAAATTAAACCAACTATTCCAGCGAGTTTTAACTGGTAAAGGCGGAAGCTTTGAATCTCTGTCAGAATTATTTGCCTCTGTCAAATGTTGTAGCCGTCTTCGTTTTCTTCTACCACTATGTACAAATGCTGATTTAATAAAACCAACTCAAAATTCGCTTAATAAGGTGAAAACGTTGATCGCACCAAAAACCAAACAGAACTTAACACAATCGACGAAAAATTACGGAATTTAGAAAAGGACAGTTAATATTAATAATATTAATACGCGCACAATTCCCAATAAAGCAAATCAATGACGTGTGTTAAATAAATTTTTCGTGGGAGTATATTTTTTTAAATAATATTAGTATCAAATATCCCAAAATTCAAAATTATAATAAACAAAATGCAATGTTATGGTCTTATTTGTGTTTCTCCCGATTCTCAAGAAAATCCAATTCCTTTACAAAATGTTAAAGTCGAAGCAAATGGTTTGTATTCATAATTAATATAATTAATCAATTA